CCTGCATTCCCCAGGATCTCCCTGCTTTTGCTCTGCCACCTTTACAACCAAAGTGATTTTCTCTCCTTTTCTAGGGGAGTGGGGGATGGGGTGTGGTGGGGTGTGGAGGGTTTAGATGAAGCCGCTTCTCTTCTGGAATCTTCTGGTTCACTCAGACTTATATCCTCACAAAGGTCTACAAGACCCTCAGTTCTTGTCCCCTCGCAGTCACCTCTCTCAGTTTCGGTACCATTCATAAATTTTCTTCTGTACTCAGGACCTTCTTGCTTTCTCCAGACACTGTTCTAACTGACCTTTTGCTAGGGATGCTCTTCCCAGACAGCCCCATGACCAGCCCCCTCCTCCCTCTAGTCTGCTCACATTGTCACCTTCTCCAGGGAGCCTTCCCTGACCACCGAAATCAACACAGCAACCTGCCTCCTTATAGCAACTCCCATCCACTTTTCCTCCTTGTTTTTTTTTTTCTTTTTCATAGCTCTTAACATACTAGTTAATTTACCTACTGTGTCTCTTGTCAATTTTCTCCCACCCCACACCCCTTTCTCTAAGTAAAATATGAATATCAAGAGGCCTTTTTGTTGCCAAATTCCTGAACAGTGTCTGGCACGGGGTATTCAATAAATAGTTGTTGAGTGGAAAAGTGCCCAGTACTGTCAAAGAGGAGATTAGAATATAAAAGAAGGGGCCAGGAGCTAGGGTTTGCCCAGGGGAATGCGCAGAATTATCTTCTTTAATCACAAAATAGAGCATGTGAGTTGAGAACTACAGAACTGTCAGCAGGTAGCAACCCCTCCAACCCATTTCCTGCACTAAGAGACTCGACCAGACTCGAGCCTGGCTTTCAGCAGCATAAGGTCCGGTCCCTGGCTTGACCTCCACCCCCATTAAAATGTCTGTCTGATCCCAGACATAGAAAACAAACTTAGGGTTACTAAAGGGGAAAGGTGGGGAGAAGACAGAATTGGATATTAACATATCCACACTACTATATATAAAAGATATAAACAAAGAGGACCTACTGTATATAGCACACAGGACTACACTCAATATTTTGTAATAACATGCGACTAGAGTCTACAGTATATATAATATATATAATCCTGTCCCAAAAAATCTAACACCTGACACAGGCCCCTGATCTCCGGTTTTTCTTTCTTTCCTTCCTTCGGCTTCTGTATGCTGCATTTTAGTTCCCTGGCCAGGGTAACCCCTGCCCCCATGTATTGGGAGCTCAGAGTCTTAACCACTGAACCGACAGGAAGGTCGCCTAACTGCCCTTTGTTAGACCATTCGTTTAACAGGGTTTGCAATTGTAAAGATGGTTCTCTTACAGCCCAAAGGGTCTCTCTTTGGGCTGAGAGCCATTCCTTTGAAATGTAAGAAAGAAGGATAGGGTCCGTGTCTCCCACTTTCTGTGCGAAGACCCATCCTAACTTCAGTAGCTGCCCGCTGACAAACTCGGCCGGCCTGCCTCTCTACTGACCAACTCTGTGGTTTTTCACTGTTGCCTCCTCTGAGCCTCCTGCTCATCCTCCCTTTAAAACGCTCCGACCCCCTCGCCCATTTCGGAATGGAGCTCGGCCAGCTCTTTCCCCTGCTGTTAGTACTCATGAATAAAGTCTGCTTTCACCACTTTCTCTGCGGTCCGCTGTGTTTTTCTTTGACCGAGTCAGATCGGAAAGGACCAAAGGACACCTGGGGGGCCGCCCAGTGTCTGCGCGTTGGGGCAGCAGGCGGGGGCGCGGCCCAAAGGCCAGGGCTCCTGCCGTGGAGCACCTCGCTCCGGGAACACCCGCCTGATGCGGTGGAGGCGACCACTCGCGCTCTCACCTGGTTTCTCTCTGCCACAGAATCCCGAGTTTACTTCCAGCATCACTAGGTTAGGCTACACATCCGAAGCACTTTTGTCACTTTTATTTAGAGAGACACTGTGAATAAACATAACCACGCTTTCCTATTAAGGCGGCTTTAGCGCTTAACGTCAACCGGCAAATAGGTCTTTCCTGAGCTTTCCATGACTAGAAAATGAGTTCAGACAGGCGACGGCAAAAATAGGCTGATATTTTCTTCTTGCTGAAAGGAAGGTGAGACTAGACACGAATCCCGACCAACCCCATCAACTGCGAGGCACTGCGGTCTCGTGTCTTCCCATGCTCCCACTCCAGGTCCAGACGGGTCGCCGCTCGCCCACGCACTCCCTTCACGAGCCACCAGCGAGTCTGGTGGGGGGGGGGGGGGGTTAGTAGGTCCCGCGCCCCCACGTGGAAAAACATAACATCCGGGACATCCCGGCAGGGGCGTGGCGTATGTAGATGAGCGGCGCGCAGAGCCTGCTGGTCCCGCTCCCCCCGGGCCTCGGCGTCCCGCGTGTGACCACGCGGAGGTTCCTGAGGTTGTTCCCCGGGTGGGCGAGGCCGGGCCGAGGGACGCGCAGGGGCGGAGGGTGCGGAGGTGGTGCGAGGGAAGTGACCGTGCGTTTAGAGTGGAGCGAGCTCGAGGGTGCTGGGCGGTGGGTGGCCAGCAACTCATACTTACCTGGCAGGGGAGATACCATGATCACGAAGGTGGTTTTCCCAGGGCGAGGCTTATCCATTGCACTCCGGATGTGCTGACCCCTGCGATTTCCCCAAATGTGGGAAACTCGACTGCATAATTTGTGGTAGTGGGGGACTGCGTTCGCGCTTTCCCCTGATTAACTGGTTTCTAATGATAGGTGAAATTAAATGGTGGATGGTTTATGTGGAATGTTTGTTTTGCATTTTTTGGCTTTTCGTGTTTCTGTTGTATTTTGTTCTTATACTGTTATATAGTTGCTGTTTTTTTTTCTTTTAGTTACTGTATCTTAAAATGTAGTAATGTCTTCGTTGGTGAAACAACACTGCTCTTTTGAGTCATATCTTTGATTCTATCTCGGTTTTTAAACAAGCATCTATCATTTTTTCAACTCGTTTTTTTTTTTTTCAGCGTTATTTAGGCAGGTGGGGAAATGGTTCCTGTTTGAATTAAAACGTCTCAAAAGAAGGTTTGCCGTTTATAGCAACAAGAGTAGGTGTTAAAGGCCAGAAAAAGATAAACCATTTCCCTGGTGGTTCATATGATAAAGCCTCTGTCTACAATGAGGGATGCTTGGGTGGAGAAGCTCTCCTGGAGGAGGCAAATGGCAACCCACTGCAGGGGTTCTTGCCTGGAAAATTCCATGGATGAAGGAGTCTAGTGGGCTTCAGTCCATGGGATTTGCAAAAAGTCGGACACGACTGAGCAACTTCACTTTCACTTTAGTATCTAGAGAGTCACTTATTGTTTCAGTCAGGCCCGACTCTGCGACCCCATGGACTGCAGCAATCTAGGCTTACCTGTCTTTAACTATCTCTCAGAGTTGCTCAAACTCATGTCCATTCAGTTGGGATGCTATCCAACCATCTTATCATCATCCTATATCACCCCGTTTCCTCCTGCCTTCAATTTTTCCGAGCATCAGGGTCTTTTCAAATCAGCTCTTCGCATCAGGTGGCCAAAGAATTGAAGCTTCAGCATCAGTCTTTCCAACGAATATTCAGGGTTGATTTCATTTAGGATTGACTCGTTTGATCTCGCAGTCTAAGGGACTCTCAAGAGTCTTTTATATCACTTACATGTGGAATCTTAAAAAAAAAGTCTATTTATAAAACGAAGACAATCACAAACAAAACTGGGAGAGCGGGGATAAACTAGGAGTGTCAGATTAATAGGTAGAACACTATAAAAACAAGATAATGCTATACAGCAATTGAACTATATTCAATCTTATAATAACATAATGGGAAAGAATCTCAACTGTACACCTGAAATTACCACAGGACTTTAAATCAACTAGTTTAATACATTAATTTTTTTTTAAAGAACCCAGAGGGAATCCCCTGGGGATCCAGTGTTTAGGACTCCGGGCTTTCACTGATGGGGCGGGACATCGATCCCTGGTTAAAAAACTAAGATCCAAAAAGCTGTGCAGCCCCCTCACCCAAAAGGCAGATTTTTTACATGTACAAGAGAACCCCCAAAGGAAGATAAATACCCCCCAAAGTGGCTAAGTGGTTCCTTCTATTGGTCCTGGTTCCTTTTGCTGGCGAATGATATTTAGAGACCAAAATCTGTTTCATCTTGTTGATGAATACTGGTGTGTCACTGCTATTAAGTCCTGTACCTATTTTACTCAATGGATTATATTCCATTATTATCATTACCTTGATTTGGCAGTAGGACTCCTTTGAAACTGGCTCCTGTGCGGATGATGTGCCCCGAAATCAGTCATCGTGCATTTCTTCATTTTTCCAGGCTTGCATTTTCCCCGACTAACAGGCTCGCCTCCGGTGGAAGCTGATGTGCCTCTCCGCCCTCCTGCCCACCATGACTTCAGGTCCTAGCGAGGCTTCCTGTGGAGTGATGGAGGAGGCTATCAGGCTAAGAGCAATGAGCACATCCAGGCTTAACCAGGCCTGTAGGTATCCAGCCTTGGCTGACCTCCTTCGCCCACCTACCCCGATTCCTGGGCATAAGTGGTTGCTTCCTTGGCAGAGGTCAAGGTTCTGTGGACTTCCTGGAGAGGGGGCTGGAACCCAGAGGGAGGGGCAGAGGGCACGGGTGTCCAGGGTGGATTCTACAAACATTTCAGATCCCAGGGATGTGTGTCCACCACCCAAGATTGCTAGCGCACCCGGCAGAAGTGCTCCAGAGGCACAGCAAGCCACAGTGAAGTGGCCTTCCCTCAGCCCGGCGTGTTGCCACTCCCTGAGCAGGCAGCGGGCACCTCTGCCCCTTTGAGGTTGGGGGGACAGTGCCTCAGAGTGCCCCTGCCAGTCTCTGTGCCACCCAGACCAGAAGGGTTGGCCACGCTGGTCACCAAAACCCACGGCCCTTCCCACTTCTCCAAACCCAGGTCCCCAAGGGTTGCACACCTCCACATCCTTCGGGAATAGATCCAACAAAGGCCTGAGGGTCTTTCTTTTGGCCCCATCTGCTGGCCTTTACTGATGGTACCACTCGAGGCTGGGTCTCTGCAGCCGCAGAGCGGCGGCCCCTTCTGGAAGGGCAGCGTGCAGACTGCGGCGGCACAGCGCCCTGGGCCCGGGGAGACTCCAAAGACTGCTGGCCGGCGCCTGTCGGTTAGCAGTGGGACACGAAAGGGTGAGACCGACAGGGGTGTGACCACAGGAGTTTGCCAGGAGAGGACGACAAAGCAGAGCCTCAGTCTGCAGTTTGAGAGGCAGTTCAGTTCAGTTCAGGCACTCGGTCGTGGCGGACTCTTCGCGACCCCATGGACTGCAGCACACCAGGCTTCCCTATCAGCAACCCGCAGTTGACTCAAACTCTGTCCATTGAGCCGGTGATGCCATCCAATCATCTCATCCTCTGCCTTCCCCTTCTCCTCCCGCCTTCAACCAGAACCAGACCAAAAAAGGGCTTGTGGACTCAGGGGTCGGGGACAGCAGCCCGGGGCCCCTGAGGTTTCAGAGAGCCACACTGCCGTCGGCGTTCTGCCGAGAGTCCTCTGAGACGGACTCCAACTGTAAGCAGAGTCTCTGGAGTTTCCCTCCCACAGGAAGGGAGGGAGACAGTACCACTCCCTGCTGTTCTCTGTAGCCACACCCAAACCAGTCTGTCCCCAAAGTGAAGCTGCTGCTTCTTGATGACAGTCCAGCCCACTTCCTTATGGGGGTTCTCTCCACTTCATCCTCTTCTTTCTCCAGTTTAGCCTTAAGGACCCAGCACTAAAGTTAGCCACCTGCTCAGAACCTCCCCTGCTTTTCACTGGGGAGCAAAAGCGACCAGCAGCACCTCCTTCGAGCCGGAATCGAACCAGCGACCTAAGGATGACCACACGTGTCGGATCTACAGTCCTCCGCTCTACCAGCTGAGCTATCGAAGGGTGCGCGCCACCCAGTGGTCGGGGACCTTACTTTTTCTGGAAATGCCGCAACACGACACTGGGGTGCCCGAGATGAGACCGTTCCGGCTGGTCGGAAGCCCTGTTGAAAAGACCGGTGCGCGCGCCGCCAGGGCGCCGGGTGCGGGTGCGAGGACCCGGCAATCCTGCGGGGTGGCTGCGGCCCGGCCTTTGTGTCGGCCGGCATCGGGGCGGCGAGTTTCAAGATGCCCCGTGTCCTCTCCTCCGTCCCTGTTTCTACAAGTGGGGACCGCGGCCTGAAAGCGGGGAAGAGGGCTAGGGGAGAGGCGGCGAAATGGATGCCCGCGTGGGGTGCAGGAGGCCGAGCCTAGGAGACCGGCACAGCGGAGCCGGCTGCCAACCACCTAGCCAGTCACCTGGTGCTCTTTAAGTGCCAAAATACTCCTTTGGTCAAAAGGGTATTTTTTGCTGTGGCACGTTGTGCCACCCTTCAAAGCCAGCCTCATCTTGCCTGCATTCCGCAGGTCTCCTGTGGATCTCCCTGCTTTCGCTCTGCCACCTTTATAGCCAGAGTGATTTTCTCTCCTTTCCTAGGAGTGTGGGGTAGAGGGGTGGGGGTGGGTGTGGAGGGTTTAGATGAAGCTGCTTCTCTTCTGGAAACTTCTGGTTCTGGTTCACTCAGACTTGAACCCTTACAAAGGTCAAGACCCTCAGTTCTTGTCCCCACGCAGTCACCTCTCTCAGTTTCGGTACCATTCATAAATTTTCTTCTGTACTCAGGACCTTCTTGCTTTCTCCAGACACTGTTCTAACTGACCTTTTGCTAGGGATGCTCTTCCCAGACAGCCCCATGACCAGTCCCCTCCTCCCTCCAGGCTGCTCACATTGTCACCTTCTCCAGGGAGCCTCCCCTGACCATCGAAATCAACAGATCAATCTGCCTCCTTACAGCAATTCCCTATCTCCTTTCCTTCCTCGTTTTTTCCCCCCTTTTTTCATAGCTCTTAACACCCAACATACTAATTAATTTGCCTACTGTGACTATTGTCAGTTTTCTCCCACCTCCACACCCCTTTCTCTAAAATATGGTATCTAAAATATCTGACTTACATCTGTTTTTTTTTTTTTTCCACAGTATTTGTTAACTGTTTATTTATTGAGAGACTTTCTCACCCCAGATAGTCACAGTTTCATAGTGCAGGAACACAGGAAAGTGACAAACTTCCATGGAACTCAACCCAAGAAATCCTTTATATTCCAAATCACTTTGCACTCTGAAAAATACCAGCCTTCCTCATCTCCTCAAAATCTTTCATGGAATCATAATTCCTGTAGAAATCTGCATATGCCTTCTTTCTTCGTTCAGCCACAGCAAACTTATAGAAAGTTGCAAACCCCAGGGAGACCATGAACGCTCCAACAATATGAAATCGCAGACGTTTGGCCAGGAGGCCACGCATCTGAGGTTTTGCCAGAGCAGTGGACATGGTAGTTCTCCTTCTCGGCGGCTCAACCGCAACGTCCTTCTAGGCTGATGGAGAAATGGGACCCTGACTTACATCTGAAACTAACACAACGTTGTAAACAGCTATGCTTCAATTTAAAAATAAATTATGAAAAAAATTCCTCTCTGAGAAAGTCCAACACCTGACGCAGGCCCTTGCCATCCTTTTTCTGTCTTCCTTTTTGTCCGCGCTATGCTGCATTTTAGTTCCCTGGCCAGGGTAACCCGTATCCCTCGCATTGGGCGCTCAGAGTCTTAACCACTGAACCGCCAGGAAGGTCGCTTGAATGCCCTTTGTCACAGCATTCATTTAAAAGGGCTTACAATTGTGAAGATGGTTCTCTTACAGCCCAGAGGGTCTCTCTCAAAGACTGGCAGCCATTCTTTTGAAATGTAAGCAAGAACGGTAGGGCCCGTGTCTCCCACTTTCTGTGAGAGGACCCATCCTAACTTCAGTGACTGCCGGCTGACAAACTCGGCCGGCCTACCTCTCTACTGACTAACTCTGTGGTTTTTCATTGCTGCCTCTTCTGAGTCCCCTCGCTCTCATCCTCCCTTTAAAACGCTCCGATCCCCTCGCCCATTTCGGAATGGAGCTCGGTCAGCTCTTTCCCCTGCTGTCAGTATTCACTGAATAAAGTCTGCTTTCACCACGTTCTCTGCGGTCTGCTGTGTTTCTCTTTGACCGAGTCAGATCGGAAAGGGCCAGAGGACACCTGGGGGTCCGGTGTGCACGCTGGGGCAGCGGGAGGAGGGGGCGGGGGCGCGGCCCAAGGGCAAGGGTTCCCGACCCCGAGCACCGCGCTCCAGGAGCCCCCGCCTGGTGCGGTGGAGGCGACCAATCGCGCTCTCATCTGGTTTTCTGTCTGCAACAGAACCCCGGGCTTTCCTTCCAGCATCACTAGGATAGGCTACACATCCCGAAGCACTTTCGTCACTTTTACTTAAAAAGACACCGTGAAGAAACATTATCACGCTTTCCTATTAAGAAGGCTTTAGCGCTTAACGTCAACCGGCAAATAGGTCTTTCCTGAGCTTTCCAAGACTAGAAGATGAGTTCAGACAGGCGAGGGCAAAAATGGACTGAAAGGAAGGTGAGACCAGACCCGAGCCCCGACCCACCCCCTCAACTGCGGCGCACCGCGAGCTCGCGTCTTCCCAGGTCCCCCCCGACTGGCCGCCGCTCGCCCACGCGCTCCCTTCACGAGCCACCAGCGAGTCTGGGTGGGGTTAGTAGGTCTCGCGCCCCCACGTGGAAGAACATGACATCCGGGACATCCCGGCAGGGGCGTGGCGTATGTAGATGAGCGGCGCGCAGAGCCTGCTGGTCCCGCTCCCCCCGGGCCTCGGCGTCCCGCGTGTGGCCACGCGGAGGTTCCTGAGGTTGTTCCCCGGGTGGGCGAGGCCGGGCCGAGGGACGCGCAGGGGCGGAGGGTGCGGAGGTGGTGCGAGGGAAGTGACCGTGCGTTTAGAGTGGGGCGAGCTCGAGGGTGCTGGGCGGTGGGTGGCCGGCAACTCATACTTACCTGGCAGGGGAGATACCATGATCACGAAGGTGGTTTTCCCAGGGCGAGGCTTATCCATTGCACTCCGGATGTGCTGACCCCTGCGATTTCCCCAAATGTGGGAAACTCGACTGCATAATTTGTGGTAGTGGGGGACTGCGTTCGCGCTTTCCCCTGATTTCGTTGTTGTCACAAGAATAGTAGTTGGATGCGTTCCTTACTGTGGTGGCTTGAGAGTTTCTGTATTACACTTGTGGTTTTGCTAAACGTTTTTCTTGTCTTTACAAAACCTTACAAGGCCCAAGAATGTGCTTGATAATAACTAAAGTTAAGAAGGAGCTGATATGGAATGGGAGAGTTAAATGGCCTTATGGAATAACTGTATATGCATTTTACTTTAGCTTTGCGAGTTGATGAAGGGGTTAGGGTGGTTTGACCCTGGTGTGCGTTTCATGGGATCGTGAAGACGATTGGGCAACTGAACTGTATACGTATGCTCTTGTATGTCTGACATTTTTTTCTTTGTCCCATACTTTGCTAGGTTGTGATCGTCTCTGTTTTAACTGTTGATTTATCTTTTTTGTAAGGGTTTTTCTTTTAAGCTTTCTAATTTGTCTGCCATCAAGTTGTTTTCTATCGCTTGATACCCCCGCCCCCGTGACTATCAGTTGTGTTTTCGGCAACAGGAGAGAACGTCGGAGCAAAAGACTGACTTGTACTTTTGAGATTTTTGAGGTGAAAAACGCAAGTGCCATGTCTATGCAAAGAAGGTTTAGCAGTGAGTGAAGATGATGAGCTTCTGTAGCAGTGGGCTTGGCCTCTCTGGAGAGGAGCGGATGGTGAACAGGTTCTAATCTGGTGCTGCAGGTAGTAATTAATCTGGTATTAATCTGGTGCTGCAGGTTGTGAGTTTTGGAAGGACTCGTTGGATAGGACCGGGTTCTGTAAGTTGTCAGTCATTTGCTTGTCCTGGAGGGTTGGTGGGTAGGGTAGAGAGTATCTAATACACAGTCGTGGACGAATTCTAGGCTTTTGGAAGGGGCTGGGACAGCATTATCCCCACTCTCAAGATGTAAGCATGTGATGACAGCAAAGGCCTGTTTATGAGGCCCTTCTAAAACAGGGGACTTGTGCTTCTGATGAACTCAGAAGACCAGGCAAGACCCTGGCCATTTGCTAAGGTTTTTCATAAGTGCTGTATAGAGAGTCTCCTGACTGCCCAGGAAGAAACAGGAGACTGCCATTGTAAGACTTGGAATCACCATCCTGATGTGGACCTTTCCTCTAGCAATAATGTTGCCCTTCCCCATCCTGGCTTCCCTGATAGCTCAGTTGGTAAAGAATCTGCCTGCGATGTGGGAGACCTCGGTTCGATCCCTGGCTAGGGAAGATCCCCTGGAGAAAGGATAAGGCTATCCACTCCAGTATTCTGGCCTGGAGACTTACATGGACTGCATAGTCCATGGGGTCACAAAGAGTCGGACATGACTGAGTGACTTTTACTGACAAGTCGGTTATGGCCCAGGCTCTCTGGCATCATAGGCACTGGGACATGTGACATGTGTAATGGAAGATGAATACTAAATTAGAAAAAAAAATTCCCCTATACAAGAAAGGGAAAGATATTTACTTCTTTCTCAAACTGTTTATTCTTTTGTTTTTGTCTGTGCCAGTCTTAATTTTGGCTTGCAGGATCCTTGTTGCAGTGTGTGGGGTCTAGTTCCCTGAGTAGGATGGAACCCAGACCCCCTGAATTGGGAGTGTGGAATCTTAGCCCCTGGATCAATAGGGAAGTCCTCCCCATTTCTTTTTTTTTTTTAATGTTTTTCTCCCCATTTCTTAAAAAATTTGCAAATACCTGTTCTGTCCTTTTGAGATACATAGATACATAGTGTTTTTAACAGCTAAAGAAATCTTTTGTCAGTGTTGCAACCTAAGAATGTTTATCTTGGGCCTTTGAAGCCATCTTTTTGAAATATGAAAGTTAAAGGAGGTAGTGTCCCATCTCCCTCTGCCTCAGGGAGTTTAGCTAAATAGTGGCTGGCTGCATGTTGTAAGGACCTGCTTGGCATGGAGCTATAAGTCTTATTTCCTTTTCGATAAAGGCACGTGGATGGCCACTCCACTACCAGTTGAATTTAGGATGCACTGTGTAGCAAATGGTGCTGTGAAGTCCTCCTGTTGAGGACGAGTTATTGAAGACATATGTGTAATGAG